GCAGCCGGAGTTTCTTCCCGGTTTCCAGCGGTGACTGTGTCCGCTTCCCCGCTGCTCATCAACGCCTCTTCCGCGCCCGTGTGCTCCTTCTCCTCCTTCTCCCTTCCACCGCAACAGTACAGCATTCAGAGTGTATAGGACGACGACGAAACGGACTTAGCGAGGATACGTTTGTCGTTGTCTCTGCAGTGAGCTCGTGTTTCATTCCACTTCGTTATTCAGGCGGAAAACTGCAGAATTCAACTGCTCTTGACCAGCATCCCTCGGTAATGATCGTCTTAGTGTTCTGTGTGATCCTCCAGTCAAACGATGCAGTGGACCGGATGGCGTAAAGCTGCACTCTCTGACAGTCACATTAGTCATTCACACACCGATACATTATAGTGGAGTTAATAAGAAACCTCAATTACAATAACGCATCACTTTATATTAGGTGTTTTTAATTCAGTGTGTGTGTGTGTGTGTGTGTGTGTGTGTGTGTGTGTGTGTGTTTGACAATGGAAGTCAATGCAGCCTTGGCCATATGGAAATCAGGAAAAAGGAAAAAGTCGGGGGGACTGCCCCTGTAACCTCACAAAATATCACAAAAGGTTTTTTTTTGGTTGATGTTTTTTTTTAATGATACTACAAAGATTCCCATTGGGATAATAACCACATAAATAGTAACAGAATATTGTCAATCTGCACTGTCTAACTCTTCACCTTTCTGTCTCCTCTCACTGTCTTTATGAAGAAATAAAATATAAACAGAAGCATATCTCTCACCATATTATGTTCTTATAGTAAACAAGCTGTTATTTGTAAAATTTGTACATTAATTACATATATTAAAATATTATTTTATTAGACAAATTCATATATATAGCCTATATATATACAACCCTCTTGCTGGAATTCTATGAGAAATTGCACATTAGGACCCTTCAGGACTAGATCCATATTCCAATTTTGTCTTTGGAAGAGCATTTCGTAAGTCAGGATATCCCAATCCAACACCCCCTTATGTCATAACTCTTGTATACTGCCCAGCTGTACTCCAGCTTACAATGTACCGACTTTAATCCTGGAACCAAACTAATAAATCCGTAGAGAAAGTTGTAGGCCTGCTCATCTTCAATCACAATCTGTCTCTGAGATTACTGAAAGGGACAGAGTTCATCCTCTGCATCTTTAATTAATGCTTTCAGTAAATACATTTAAAGGTCCCGTTCTTCGCGATTCCATTTTTCAAACTTTAGTTAGTGTGTAATGTTGCTGTTAGAGCATAAATAATTCCTGTAAAATTATAAAGCTCAAAGTTCAATGCCTAGCGAGATATTTTATTTAACAGAAGTCCCCTCTTACAAAGCATGTCAGCGAACGGCCGGTTTGGACTACATCCCTCTACTTCCTTTTTTAATGACGTAACTAGAACAGTTTTTTGACTAATCTCCGCCCACAGGAATAGACAAAGAAAGGGGCGTGGTCTTGTTGCGCTCCTACGGAGAAGAAGCACTTCAGCTGCACATGCATCTCCAATTTATGGTAAGAGGCGTGACCTTTCCAGGCAACGTACGATAAGCTGCTGTCGAATCACAACACAGGAACCGCTGGCACAATCAGAACTTGTTACGTATTTCTGAAGGAGGGACTTCATAGAACAAGGAAGTCATCAGGCCGTTTTTTTGGACAGTGAAAACAGCGGTATACAGATAAGTAAATTGTGTGAAAAAAACTGTGTTTTTTTTACACGCGAAACATGAACACATGTTATATTGCACACTGTAAACACAATCAAAGCTAAAAAAAAAACATGAAGAACGGGACCTTTAAAACGCCCAGAAAAACTCCATATTTGTCATTTTTTGCCCTCCAGGTCAGCTGGGCAACTTTCTAGAAGAGCTGGATGTGCTGCTCTCCTCATTCCCTGAGGATGGCAGCCCATAGTCTTCGGAGACTTCCACATACACCTGGAGAATCCTTATGCTGCAGATTTCCCTCGATCTTTCGATCTTCAATGGCTCACCAGGTACTCACAAGTCCGACAACCAGTTTGACCTCATCTATACACGCAACTGTCAAAGAAAACATTTTGTTTAAAACATTTCTGATCACTTCCTTATCACTTTTAATTTACACCTTTTTTCTTATCACCAACCCCCTGCTGGTCTAATTCAGACCTATGCTCCATCTCTCCCTCACACCTTTCCTCTGTTGTGTCATCCTCTATTCCCTCCCCCAGCCAATTCTTATCACTATATGTTAATAAGACCAAAAACACTTTATTTTCCACTCTAACATCCGGTTTAGACTAAATCCGTCCTCTCTCCTCCAGGCCAGCATGTGCTACTCCTTCAAATCCCATGGTTATCCAATGTTCTCTGTGAGCACTTGACCAAGCTCAAGGCAGCTGAAAGAAAATGGCACAATTCAAAAGATTCAGCTGACCTCAGTAAGTATCAATCTTTGCTTTCAGGTTCACACTGCAAAAATTTCATATTTTCACAAGATCAACAGTACTTTTGACACACGCACATTTTTCAAAACATTCGATTCTCTCCTCTGCCCCCCTTCGTAACCTCTTACTTCTCTTTAACAGCTGATGACGTTGCTTACTACTTCACATATATCTTCACTTCACGGTTGCCTGGGGAGGGAAGGTATTCAAAACACATCATCAGGTCACTGGGGTACCCCAGGGATTAGTTCTTGGACCTCTCCTCTTCTCCATATGCACTACATCACTGGGACCACATGATTTTGAGGATTATTTGTTGACTTGAAAATCTCCAGATAAACTGTAACCTGCCAATCGCTTTAGATATTTGCTTATGACTCTATAGAAACTCTAAAAGCGCTGAAAACAAAAGCCACATCTTGCAGATGAACAGACTCTGTTAAAAGTTGTGCAATGACTCCCTGGGGAGGGAAGGTATTCGAAATACATCATCAGGTCACTGGGGTACCCCAGGGATTACTTCTTGGACCTCTCCTCTTCTCCATTATACAGGCACATGATTTATCCTACCATTGCTATGCTGATGACACACTTTTCACTTCAACCAGATGATCTCACAGTATCTACACAGTTCTCAGACTACCTGGCAGACATCTCGGCATGGATGACAGAATATTACCTACAACTCAACAAAGACGGAGCTTCTCGTTTTCACAGCCACCCTGTTAGTCCAGTACAACTTTACCACCCAGCTAGGTTTATCAACAATAATCCCATCATGTTCAGCCAGGAATTTTGGGGTAATCTTTGATGATAAGCTGATCTTCAAAGACCACATTACTATATGATCATGCAAGTTTGTACTGTATAACTTCAGGAAGATCAGGACCTTCCTAACTGAGCATGCAACACAACTTTTTGTCCAGGCCTTTGTGTAATGCGCTGCTTGCTGGACTTCCATCATGTGCAATCAAACCCTACAAATGATCCAGAATGCAACTGGACTTCAACGTACCCAAAAGAGCCCACATCTCATCGCTGCTTATCTCACTGCATTGGCTCACAAAACATTGGTGCTTGCCTACAGGACGGCCACAGGCTACACCCTCCTACCTCCACTCTCTATTACAAGTTGTGCCCTCAAGGAGCCTCCGGTCTGTAAGTGTACAGCACCTTGCATTACCATCAGGCACAAAATTACTCTCAAGAATGTTTATATTCAATGTTCCTTGCTGTTGGAATGATCTTCCAAATCCTATCTGGACAGCCGAATCCCTGACAATTTTCAAGAAACAGCTGAAAACTCATCTCTTCCGTGAGCATTTAACTGCAGCCTGCTGAATAATAATAATAAAAAATCCATTTCACTATTCCTTCACTTATGCTCTCACCGTTCCTTAATCCCTCCCGATTCTAGCTTACTTTCCTGAACAATGGCTGAAACTTTGTATTAATAGCACTTCTCGTGTTTATTGCCTCATTAGCTTGTTGTATTCCTCAATTCAAGTTGCTTTGAATAAAAGCGTCTGCTAAATAAATAAATGTGAATATGAAACAACTAAAGATGCTGCATCATGGGAAAGGTGACAAGAATGAAAAAGACAAGAGGATTGTATTAAAAAAACGTATAAGGGAGAAGATAAGCGAGGATTGTTTGTTGGCATACCTGCATAAACTATGTGACTTGCCAAATGCTTCAGATATTTCCTCATGACTCTATAGAAACTCCATTAGCACTGAAAACAAAAACCACATCTTGCTGATGAACAGTCTCTGTTAAAAGTTGTGCAATGACACTCATCGTCATTTGAACATTTCTGCATGACGTTAAGATATGAGTTTCAGCAGGTCCGTTCTTAATATATTGCATTTTTGATGAGTGAGAGGCACTTAAGGGAAATGTTTAATGGATGCTACTGCTAACATGATTCCTTTACTTCAGAAGCCTGTCATCTGATGAATAATCTGAATGACAAAGTCTTCAGGTTTTGTCCTGGTAGAGATGTTGCTTTGCTATTTCTCCCCCGTGACTATCTTTGAATTTAAAGTCATAACATTTTTAAAGATTATTTTGTGCCTGCACACTAAACACACTAAACCAGAGAATGTCCATTCAACGACTGATGGAGAACAGGTGAAACAAAGGGCTATATATACACAGACAGACAAAGCTTAACAAGATAACAGGGGAGGTATGGCTAATAAGAAACACCTGGCGAGACTAATCAACATTAAACCTACAAAGAAATGCAAAACATGAAGCAAAAGGAAATAACTTGAGTCCAGAAACACACAAGACAGGGGAACACAGGTTGGAATCATAACACTTACTGTCTGAAGCTGTGTTTATTATGTGGTTTCAATGATGATGTTGTTAGTTTCATTCCTTAAGGTATATTTTCATACATTAAGCATGTCTGGATTCTTCATTTGCAATGGAGCAATGCAGTATTGTTCTCCACCCTGTTTTGAGTAATTTTTAAGTGTAATGCTAAAAGGATGCTGCTGTGAACGGGTCAAACAGGTTAAGGAGGTTTTCCTTTAGAGCAATGTGATGACTTTTTTTTTTTTTTTACCCACTCAGTAAAAAGGCAAGATTGTGATCAGAAACAGCAGATACTTTCATTACGCTGGACCTGCCAACACAGGTGAGAGATTTTCTACAGCGATATGCAGAATCAGAGAATCTTTTCATTGCACTCATCTGCATTTTTACAATGATTATTTAACCTTTTGTTTTAGGACTTGAATAGTTTAATAGTTTTCACTGTGCCTGCATTTCAAATATTCAAAAAAATTCAAATATATAGAATATTAAATTAAAATAAGGGTCTACTTATGTAGTAGATTAATATACTAAAATATTATGTAAACACCTTACAGTAAGGTTTCCTTTGTTAACATTATTTGACTGCATTAGTTCACAGCATTTATAAATTGTAATGTTAATCTTAACATTTACTATAATACATTTTTAAGTTTAAAAGTTGTATCTTAACATTAGTTAATGCACAAACTGCATGAGCATTTTTATTTACTAACATGAACAAAGGTTTATAAATGCTGACACACACACACGCACACAAACACTCTCATTGGTGTGTGATACCTAAATCATATCATACTTCTCTACCTGTTGTACATTTGTAGCTGTAAGCATGTCCAACTCCATGGTAGTCATGCAGCCAAAGCCTGTTATGATCTCTAGTCATTCTGATCAGTGGGGATCAGAAATCTGTGACTGCTGTGATGACATGTCTGAATGTAAGTAAAGTTTAGAATAAAATACAAAGGTTACACTGTAATTCTATGGTCCACTTTAGACATTCTACTAACTATAAGTAGCTTTGCAACTACATGCCAACTAACTCTCATTAGAGGATCAGTAGAGTAGGGTGTTGGGGTTTAAGTTGACATGGGGGACCATCAAAATAAAGTGTTAGCAGATATAAGCAGACTGTCTTTCTCGATTAAAAGTTAGTTGACACATAGTTGCAAAGCTATACAGTTAGTAATGTAGTGGAATTAAAGGGGAAAGTTCACCCCAAAATGAAAACACTCATTTATTTACTCAACCTCACGTGATTCCAAATATGTTACTCACGGTCTGGAAACACTTTATTTTAAGGTGATGTAGCTACACGTTCTTACTAGTCTATATTAATAGCAGTAAATTATGCACAATTACAAGTAACTAACCCTAACCGTAACTTTATAGTAGGCTGTGTAGTCTAGTTAATTAATATTACTCAGTAGCTACTTAAGTAAGTAGGCTACAATATCCTCCTGAGACCCAGAAAAAAAAAGTTTTTTGAATTTAGTTTTTTTCCATGTCATCACACTGTTTAGAGCACAATAAACAAATGGTAAAAAAAACATATATATAAAGTGGTGTAGTGGACGCCAGGACTAAGTTGTTTAAAAAATAAAATGACATGAAATCATATGTACAGGCAAAAACAATGGGATTTTTTTTTTCAATCACCAATACATTTTGGGGTTTCAGGATTTTTTCAACCAAAATTTGTATAAAGATTATTCTCAACTATGTTATGAAAGAAATAATGGAATGAATTGATACACCATTTTACTTTTCGCAATATGTGGGTAAAATGGCCATAAGTTAAAGGGGCATTATGCAGAAATCCCGTTTTTGTCAAACAGCGACCCCTAGAGTTACTGTGGAGTACTTGAATTTAATGTTACTGTCGTAAATACCACTCACTCAGAGCTTGACATGCCCTGTTACATAGTATACAATAGTACATTGTGTTTAATTTGTCGTTTAATGAGATATAATATATGTTGTTAGTGGTGAGAATTTTCACGTGATTAAATACATAGATCCGACAATTTTAATGGTCCAGAGGCAGAACTTTTGCCAAGTGTGTCAGAGGTTCTGGGTTCTAATCGGTACTAATAGTATAGTTTATTTTCCTCATCAAAACCGATTGTTTATTAGTGGTTGTATTTCAAGCAGGGACATGTGTTTTGTGCATTAGATTTTGTGATTTCACCATAACAAAATATAGAGAGTCTCTCAGTCCCCGCAACGGATTCAGGCGCGCGTCACAACAGAACACTGTAACTTATCTGCACCGCTGATCGCAGAGGCAACGAGCACTTTGGTCACTTGATTTCAAAACTAACACATTTCAGATCGCCTCTTATTTAACAAACGAACGAAATGAATGCTCTACTAGAGTTACCTGGAGATGTTTTATTTGTTTGTAATGGTAACGTTACATCCGTGCCGCGAGAAGTTTCAATGGGGACATAACACACCCGCAAATTATGCCTATGCTCGTGTCCGACTCCTCACTCGGTCAGTCTGCCGTTTCCTCTTTCTCTGTTCCTCCGACAATGCTTTCCTAGCTTTCTGCATCTTATATGCCGGCTCAGCCATGACGATAGTGTGACAAACTCCATCCATCTATACCTTGTTCCTGTGTGTATGTGTGCAGTTGCCGTAAAGGAATATGTTACATCGCGAGAGCTGATATCACGCGATACTTCCTGACGCGGCCCGCCGCACCGAAGTTGCAAGTGAGATTTTTTCGCTCACAGGCACCAGGGGGGGTCGAGACGCCCACCATTCAACCCGAAAGAAGTTATATAACCATTTCAATAACTCTGAAGCTGTTCAGTTAAGCTAAAAAAGCTGCATAGTGTCCCTTTAATATTCCCATTCAATGCAATGTATCGATACACTGTATCTAATTTGCACATTAATGTGTTCTTGGAGCAACATTTAATGAAAAAATAAGGGTAATAATTGGAGTAATAATTGGCAACATTTTAATAATATCTAATATTTCATAGGAATATTGATGTATAATTTATTTCCATATTCACTTGTTGTGTCTCCCAGAATGCCTGATAAACATGATTTTAGTCCTGATGTCCTCTACAGTGCACTCTAAAAAATGATGTGTTGGATTTACTTAAAATATATATGCACCATTTTTGCATCATACTTTTTAAGTAATCCCAACTTGGAATAATTTTACTTAAAATTAACAAGAAAACCGTTGTTATATGTACTTAAATATTTGAGTTCACGCAACATTCTTTACTTAAAAATATATGCATCACGTTACATATATTTTTAAGTAAAGAATGTTATGTGAACTCAAATATTTAAGTACATATAACAAAGGTTTTCTTGTTTATTTTATGTAAAATAATTCCAAGTTGGGATTACTTAAAAAGTATGATGCAAAAATGGTGCATATACATTTTAAGTAAATCCAACACAGTGCAGGCCATGTGAGATCAAAACAAATCTTAGTTCTGTTAACTTAACATTTAAGCCCATTTGTATATTAAAATAAGACAATTAAATGAGCTGAACCAACCATTTTAACTTATTTTAGATCTTCAGCTATTGGTCTGCTAACTGCACTGCTCCAGTACATTTTATGTCTTAAAATAAATTAAACATGCAAATCACACACAACAAAGCATTTAACTTTATTATTTTTTTATTTTTTTGCCAAAGGTTTGAAAGCCTGAAACCACACATGAAATGTAACAAAATGTGGCAAATCGACAAATGGAAAATCACTTTTAACAGGTCAATTTTTCACCTTTGCAACACTTCTCAAAAGATTTACATTTTTCCAATATTTACTTTTGCAACATACAAAAAACCTCTTAAAGGACAATTCCGGTGAAAAATGAACCTAGGGCTAATTAACACATGGTTACCGAGTTGATCGTTCTCTGGGATGCATTTTCATGATAATCGAATGTACGTAGAGTTTTATCTCTAAAAACTGTTTAGCTTATAACACTAGTATATGGGGCATAGAATAAGCAAAAGTAAATCGCTAGTTAATAACACTAACAAGGCTCAAAATAGCCCCACACTAACACGGTAGCATAATGAGGGTCCCAATGCAAACCGAAGCATTGAGAACTTTGTAAGTGTACAGACAGTTTAATAAGAAGATAATTAATATAGACAGTACATTATGCGTATACAGGCAGGAGCCATCTTGGAAAACAGTCTCGACCAGTCGAGCCACGAACGCCGTGCTAAGTGAGATGAACTGTGACTTGGAATCTCATATGGTCCGTTGTTTCCGGAAGAAACTATTTTAATAAACAGATATAATTCATGCATTTCCATGTAATTAGTTTCACAAACGTAATTCCTATCGACCAGCTCACTTAGCACAGCGTTCGTGACTCATCACCTCTATGCCTTCCAGCGTTACCCCAGTCTGTGAAGGATCATCTGCTGAGCCACCTTTCGTGATGATCCTCAATGTGAGATGTTCCAGTTCCTCTTCATTCCTATGAGTATATAAAAAAAAAAACAGGAAATCTGCATTTACTTGCAACATCACTTGTTATTGTTCAGACTGTTGCAAAAAATCAATTGCATTCAAACACAGAATGAGAAAGAAATGTACCTTTATATTTTAAAATAAAATAAATCTCTTACAGCCTCTTACATTTGCAACATTATAAATGTCTATACTGTCACGTTTTTATCAATTTATACTTGCTGGATAAAAGTATTAATTTATTTTATTTCTTTTTAAAAAAAAGTTCTAATTGACCCAAAACTTTTAAATTGCATCTTAAAATATATTCAAATAGAAAACAGTTGTTTTAAATTGTAAAAAATAATAATAATCACAATATTACAGTTTTTGCTGTATTTTGGATCAAATAAATGAAGGCTTGGTGGGCAGAAGAGACTTATTTTAAAAACATTAAACAATCTTACTGGTTGTGTGTGTGTGTGTGTATATATATATATATATATATATATATATATATATATATATATATATATATATATATACAAATTTTTTTCTGGTTATCAAAAATATATCTAAAAAGAAAAAACAATAATTAAATGTTACAAATTAGTCCATTATTAAATGCCTATAAATATAAAAATGAGTCTATTAAATAATATCTATTAATTTAAACAAAACAAGTTAATTAATGAAGACTTTTGTCCAGAGGTTTTGAACGAATCTCTTCAAAACATTTTAACAGTCAGTCACTACTGGAATAGCCAAACAGTAAATAAAGATCTACAATCTTTGTTTGAAGCCAAACTTTTGCTTAAAGGGTATTAACTTATTTTGAAAATAATTTTAAAGGGTTAATAGACAGGGTTGTAGCTGTCATTTAGGAATAATATTGTGTTTGAATCAAGATCGCCATTATTTAATGATAAATCGTGCACACGGAGCTGTAGCCAATGTGTTTTCGAATGTAATATTTGTATGTTAACGAACGTTACCAATAGGCTAACCCGCGCCCAAGGCCTGGACGCCCCCCTTTCCCGCGATCCATTTATAGATATTAGAGAATAGAATATATGGGAATTTGTAAATATGGAAAGTAAAACATTTTTAATCCGAAAACTCATAGCCTGCATATAATAAATGACAACTACATTTCGTTAATAAAGTAGGCCTACGAATTTATCCGTGGGGGAAAGCGCCGTCCGAATTGTCCTCTTATGGTGTGTTCAAACCGAACGCGAATAGAGCGTCAAATACGCGTCTATCGCGTCTAGTGCTTGAATCTGCTCGAGTTCAAATTTTTCAACTTGCGTGGAAGACGTTCGCGGCAAACGCGTCACCCAATTCGCGTCATTCGCGACGCCCGGCGCGAATGATGTGTCTATTCGTGTCTTTGCATTGACTTTGTAATCTACTCGCGCAAATTATTAAATTCGCGTTAGGTGTGAACACACCATTAATACATACGTGCCAACGTCATGGTCATATATTTCGAAAAACACAATAAATACTCTGACTACTATAAACACTTGACACTTGATAGCCTATTCGATGGAAGCACACTCGCTTAATAATTCAAATATACTCTCGTGCAAAGTCACTCATTTCATACATTAACTTGTAGACTACATAGGTGTTCGTAACACGTTTCTAATTGTTGATGCAAAATTCGTAGCAATTCTGAAATTCAGTTTAAAAGTTAGTTTCTTGACCAAAAATGCAATAAACGATTGAGTGTACCTTAAGTTAAAAAAAGTTAAGCTTACCTCTTTTCAGCGTCTTCACATATGTGCTTCACAAAATGGCTCCAATTTTTGGCTGGAAAGGCATCACGGGAAATTGCATATCACGTGGCTTGTATAGTTACTTAAAATGTTATGCTCGATTTACTTAATTTTGAAGCAATTATTATAGTAGTTGACATGACTTATGTTTTTTCATTTTATTTATGCATACATTTAAGTTCACCTAGTTACTTATATTTTTGTGTTACACACAGTAAATATGTTAAGTAGAGGTTGGAAAGTTATGAATACTTAATTTTTTGTGTTAAATCTAATAACTTTTATAAGTAATGGTTGTTCAGCCAACGAATCGTTTTTTAGAGTGTGGACACGTTTGAAATCAATGCCCTGTTCTGTAACAGAAAGTATTTTTTTTATTTGAAACCCCTTAACATTTTCCTGAGATGTTGTTTTATGAAATACAATTTAAAAAAGTAGTACAATTTAAATTATAATTACAATATATTATCATATTTCCATAAGAATGCTACATTTGATCACTAAATTAATGTCAGACATTTTTAAAGACCAAGGAGAAGTTGTTTTCATGGTGAAACCTCCAAACATTTGGTATCTCTGAAAAGCCCTGAATGTGCTCTTTACAGGACACCCATGTTGTGTCATGTGACATGTATGATGTCAGAGAAATTCACTAAAATATAATGTCCACTACAGTGGACAAAAGTCTATTCTTGGGTCCCAGGAGGATATAACTACGTAACCTTAAAATGTGTAACCGACTTTCAGTTTTCTACACTCGGTGTGGTCATAGATCAGAACCATCTTAAAGTTACACAGTTCCACTGAAGCATCCTGCAGAATGAACTTAATTTTTTTTTTTTTTATCTTCTACTATCTTTTTTCCCAGGCTACAACACGATGATGTAATGTATTGTAGGCTAATAAATATGACCTGCCTTTCTGTAAACAGGCTGCTTTGCTTTCTGGTGTTTCTCGTGTTACACGTGCATAAATGCCAAGAAATACGGTGAGTGCTTATGTCTCCCCCTGCTGGACTTCTGCGGGTGCGTCCCACCCATAACCATGTCCATGAGGGTGTCAATGCGCCAGCGTTATGGCATTAAGGTGAGAATCACTTTTCTATCGAATTTACTTTACATTTAGGGGAGACGGCTGGCTAGTTGTCACAAACTAAATCCTTGCCAAAAGTGCAATCACACAAATGTTTATTTCCTATAGCAGTTTAAACGCATATAGCCTAGTTTAAACTGAAATTTGAGTTTGGAATTTACAAAAATTTAGTTAAAGACCAATCATATATTTTCTATAGCTATTGTGTAACAAGTGAAAACATTAAAACCACACTGACAATTAGTAGTTCAACTGAGAAATTGAACGTTTCTCATTCTTCTATTTTTTCCCCCCATAAATGCAGGACAAAGAACGTTTTTTTTTTAAATTATTATTATTGTCGCAATTTGCCATATACACAAACGATGTAAAAATGAGTGCAATACTAGTGATGTAGACTTATAAAGACATTACGGCTATATTCATTTGCAGGGTGATATGTGTAATGACTGCCTGATGGCCACGTTCTGCAGAGGATGCGTTTGGTGTCAGATGTCACGAGAGATGAAGACAAGAGATCTACAAATCACTCTTATTGGTGCCAGGAATTTATAAGTGGAGTTCCTAAATAACTGCCGGGTCATATGCAATGCAAAATCAAAATTGTGAGAGAGCCTAAACTCGCAATTCTGAGAAAAAAAAAAATTTGTACTTTAGGCCTATAACTCGCAATTGAGAGTTTATGTCTCACTTTTCTGTTAAAAGATCGAAGATAAACTTGCAATTGCGAGGGGGGAAAAAATAATCAGAATTGCAAGTTTAGCTAGCCTATATCGAGTTGAAGCTGCTTCCTCGAACCCCTCCACTGCTGACAGCAAGCCAAATCATTTTACTTTAGCTTTTTGGGCAAACGAACTCGCGAATGTCTTTTGAAGTAGTTATAATGTGTGTGTGTGTGTAGCCAATATACTACTACTAATAAGAAAAATCATAAAGAAAATATTTCATGTATTGAATATATATCATTAATTGATTTGGTCATTTATTGATATACGTTGCTTTTATAGGAGGCTTATTTTAATGGTGATTTTTATGTAAATCCCTGATGTAATTTGATGAAACGGAATGAAATTGAATAAATTTTGTAAATGTCTGTATTGTCATATCTTTAATGTCAGCTACTGCGTTTCTAATCTGCATAATATCATGACAAGTTTGCCAGATTATTGTAGAAATGATGAAAGTGAAACAGGAAAAAAGTTATATAAGTTTGAGTTTATGAACGTGCAATGTAAAAATATAATTATATTTTATATATATATATATCTAAAACATATATTTTACTCTAAAATTGCTTGAAAATAAAAGCCAAAAATCTGAACTAGTTGTGTTCCAAATTGTAGGTTGATGATAAAAAAAAAAAAAGAAGAAGCTTTCAGTAAGATTTTATTAGGGCGCAGTACCAAACTTTTTCACTAGATGAACCGCTTCCTTACTGACCATATAAGGGCGCCTCCATTTTCATATATGTTTGAGTGATCTGAACCATGTGTTTTCATACGATTTATGAAGTAGACATCCTATTCAGAAGTAGTATGGGTGGTTTGGCAGTATTTGATTTGAATTCAACCTCTAATAAATGCATAAAAAGAGCACATATGTGCGTTATAGCTCGCAGCTGCATCACAAACCGAGAATCCATAATATTTTTCTTTATATTTAAAACATTTTCAGACCTTTTTTTTCTCAAAATTGAATTGGTGTTATCTTTTGAACTCTTGGCATGAGAGCAAACTGAGGTTTCTACTAATCTTTCATGATTTTTCATGTTTATTGCCATTTCAAAGTAAAGGCCTAAACACTCCTAATGAGTATGAAATATTCTTGTTGCAAATTGATAAATTACTACTCCTCTGTAATTTTAGAAAATAGCCACCAAATATGACTATAGATTGTAAGCTTTCAAATGATATATTGTATAGTTTGTCAATGTTATTTAGGTTTCTACTAAAATATTGTTTTAAATATATAATGGCAAACGTCTGTAGCAACATTGAGAATGGACCAAACACAATTGAAGCTTTCAGACATAACCAAACACAAGATGCTGCATATTCCAGATTATCCCCAGGCACTGGAGCCAAGAGACCCTTTTGTTGCTTAACTGAAGGAAGGACGTTGTCAATGTTTTATAATTTGGCAAGAACAGATCTGTTCAGAAATGGTGAAACAAGAGGCCCTAACAAGGAGTCACCTGACCCCTGCGACTAAACAGACTGAACCATTCAGCGTCCCGAGCTAGTTTTCCCCTCATCAATTATTACACCTCCTTAAGGCTGAAAAAGGGGACTTGCATACAAAATACCCTTTGTCTTGAAGACAGCCATTTGCGAAACTAAACCCTCACGTGGTACACACCACGGATGCACAAATGCTGACCATAAGGATACCCACACACACACACACATAAGGACTTTCCTCCAATTCTCCAATACCAATAAAACTCATCCCAGAACAATTCTTGACTGACCCAGAATCAAAATCATGTAACAACAATTATATATTGTGTTTACAACCCCTGTATGTGTCTATTCTGCTTAGATCACATCTAAGTCATGTAATTGTTTTAAATATTAGAGATACTGGAATGAAAGTGTCGTGTTTCCTATCATTATGCTCGTATGTTTTTAATTCAAAAGATGGCTCGATTGAAATCTGTGTAAAAATGTTTATGTTCTTAAAATGGAAATTATGTCTAAACTGAATCCTCTTGTTTCGAGCTGATGAGTAAGCAGACCACAGAGAACACATGATTCGCGATGAGAGAAGGGGGGGGATAGAAAAGACCCCCTCTCAAATGACCATATAGTATCTTATTGTCCGAATTCCAAATTCCTCCAGGAGGCGGGACAAACATTTTGAGTTTAAAATCTTAGACCCGGACACAGAATGATGCTCTTGTGATCCTCGCTCTTGTGATGCGCTCTGAACGCTCTCTGGAAAAGCTCTCTGGACTCGCTCTCTAAGCTCTTGTGATGCCCGACGCCGGGTGGAGCCGACGATGGTTATAGTAACCATGTAGACGCAGAGACAAATGACCCAAATCAAGATATGGGTTAAAACAGATTTAATTGAAGCCATCTCGTCACACTTTCCTTTCTTTTCTTAGTTTGTTTCTTTTCCGTTAAAAGTCTCGGTTCTAAGTTAAGTGTTGCTGCAAAGTTTCGTTTTAACGTTTCAACTGCAAAACCAGCTTTCAACTTCAAAGACTTTCATTCATCCGCGCCAACACACCACGTGACTGGCTGTCCAAAGTCTATCCAGGCACATGAGAAGATCAGCCAAGCAACGGACCGGGGAACCCCCTTCACGACAAAAAGGGAACCCCAAAGCAAGGACAAGCAAGTACCTCCAGACTTTTAGCTCAACTTGCAGGTGCATTTTAATATCAAATTGAATTACCCGCCTAAGAAACGATAAAAGGGTGAAATTAATTATTGATGGTTCGTTCAGGTCATGTCTTTTAAGTGCATTTAGAAACTTGGGATCTCACCATCTAACTCCTAAAACTCATTCTTCCTCACTCTCTGTCTTTCTTCGACTTGTATGAATGCGTGTGCGTGTGTTTGTGTTAGATATTTGTTTTGTGTGTTAGTCATAGGCTTATAATCAATAAAGTATTGTTTGTATTTGCAAAGAGAAGCATTACTTGTGTTATGTGCTTACCGATTTATTGTCTTGAACTTCGATCTAAGTTACCTATGCTTTGACCCTTGATTTATTTCTTAATTTAGCTGTTAGCTGGGAATTAGTCTTTCTTGGCCAAGAAGATATTATATTTCCTAGAATTAATAATTGTTTATGCTTTCCGTTCATTGGATGAACTGATAAACTGATCATACTATTGATTTTGCTACAGTAAATTCTGAAAATAATTCAATTATTAATTATTGATCATAATCCGTTATGAATAATAATTAATTATATTTATACGTGCGTACAATCGCTACATTATTTATGGTGGAGAATGCGGGCAGTTTAACCTAAATTGTAAGCATATACGAAGTAATTTTTCTTTTCATTTTGTGCGGATGAGAGATCCGAACCTACGAAAGTCTGTGTGTGACGTATGGAGAGCGCGCAGCGCGCGCCCTGTTTGAATGAATGCTGCTGCTTGAGCGAATGCACCCCAGAAAGAGCTGTTAATCTGTCTGCCTCCATATGTTTTTATTTTTCAACTGCAGTAAAATAACCCAAGATATAAAATATCACACAACAATAAGGTAAGAATATTGAGCGTGTTCCTCAATTTCTGAAATACCTTGATTATAGCTTACTGACGTCTGCGTGTTCCAGCGTCTTTCAAAGCTATACGTGTGTGTGTATCAGCCAGAGAGCTCAACGAAATTATACTGCAGTAATTAAAATAACCATATGAGAACGAAGATTCTCCTCACAGAGCGATGAGCGTGTTCCTCATCTAACGTTATATTTATCTGATTGTCAATGCGTGTTCCATTGCAATCCTAGTCATAAACAGCTGTTTGTCTATGTTTGCTTGTATGTTTGTGCCTGTTCAATGAATTCTCGGGTAAACACTGCGTGTGTCCGAATGTAATTGAATAAGAGTCATTTTAAAATTGTGTTCAAGTAAAGCTTGACGTGGAACTTAACCAACAGTTAATGTTAAGAACCCTGTTGTTCGTGTGCTCAGATAAACTTGCACAGAGACGATCCGCCGAGGTCGCCATCGTTCCATCTGTTATAACGCAAAGCTGTCGCTTGCTTAAAGTTAATATCACTCTTAACAAACTGAGTGAACCCCACGTCGTAAAACCAGCTAAAGCTACGAGTGGTGTATTTTTGTACAGTTTGAAATGCGCCGACATTTCCCGTAATATGATCGACTGTTACTGTACATGCATATTCTATGAACATTGTTGAAATGCGCCGACATTTCATGTAACATGCGTAACTGTTTCCTAACTGTTGCAATTCACATGTTTACCCACTAGCGTTCGTTTCGTTGCCATAGTTACGATCGTGACACGGAAGTCTTAACCAACGCTTCCGGGGGAACTCTGACCTCTCGCATGATCAGAGCCACAGTGTAAACAAACCCTTTTGGTGGCTAAGCTAGCTAGCCCTTTGCCAAGCTAACCAAAGCAGTTGTTTACAGTGAGGCCTATATGCTAACGCCTTTAGCATTATTTACGGTTATCAGTAGTATTAACCTCAATGGTTAAATAGTGTCTGTTTGAACAACGTTAAAGTGATTTAACCATTTAAACACCTTGACTTTCCACCTGTTGGTCTTTTCTTCTTTCTTATTTACCTTTCCCATATCTCACTGAACCCATATTTTCCTTGAAAAGGAAGTCGTTTGCAATTATTAATTCCTTTACCTGCATTTTACTTGCAAAAGAAAATACTGGTGTATGATTATTAAGTGGCAAATTCGAATTTGATTTTTTTTTTTAGGGAATTATTAAATTTAAATTCTATTTTTCTTAACAGGTAATTTCTAACGATTTCTCGATTTATTTTTAATAAATCTAATTTCATAATTTCTAAATTTCTCTTTTAGATCTAATCACAGGCGAATAAGTCTTAAACTTTGAAAGTTAAGAACTTATTCC